TCAATTCAGGGCAAAGTGACAAAGTCTATTGAATCCCAAGCCCTGACCCATTTATACTTACCTTTATCATGCTCTCCCCATCTCTCCTTAGCTTCATCTGACCTCATGATCAGCTCTCGTGAAATACCCAGTATTTCTGCATATAGTGAGCATGTGAACAAAACAAACCAAAAAAAAGGGGAAGCTATATCCTGATGGCCTTATGCTTCTAAAATGTCATAGGTCAAATTTAGAAAGAAACAGGTTATTGAATTTCTAACAGTTTCAGTGTGGTTTCTAAGTGCTGCCACTTGCAACTTTTATTTTATTGAAAAGTAGGGGAAGAGTAAGAACTTTTTTGCTCCCCTTATGGTAAGATTTTGTCTAACTTCCTGTCCTAATAATAGTTTTCATAAAGGCAGGAAGTTAAGAGTTATCTCCCCCATGGCACCACAGCAGTTATCCCTATAGAACAAAAATTTAATATATTGTAGCTTGCCAGTCTTTAGATGTTAGTTTTCTGTTTTAGGATCATCTTCCTTAATTATTACCTGGTGACCCTATCAGTGACACACTTCCTGCTCTAGAATGACAACAAAAAAAAACAAAAAGAAAAAAGAAAAAAAACATATATAAATGAAAAAAAAATGGGGCAGACTTGATGGACCACTTGGTCTTTTTTCTGTTTTCACTCTTCTATGTTTCTATATCTATAGAGAAGCAACATTGTCACCCTATGCTATTCTCCTGATATGACTTACAGAATCCCCCCTCCTCTCCCCATCTCCATAATATGGAATGTTTTCTGCAATGAACTTGGCAGGGCTGATTACACTTCTTGAGATTTCAGCACAGCAGATATAGTACACAGGAAGTTGAGAGCTCCTTGGAATTCTGACAGGATCAACAGGTAATTTTTGCACTTAGATATAAGAAAACACTTTCAATAGTATATTTTAACACAGACCAAAAGGCCCCAATAAGAGTTCATCACTGGGGTTTACACAGGGCTTTTGTTCTTAGAGAATAGGTGCAGGTACTCCCACCTTGTCTCTACCCCCTACCTGCCTTTGAGCACTGTCCATTGGTTCCGCCCCCTATCCACCTTTCAGTACAGCCCTTTTAGAGAAAACAGAACCAAATATCTTTTGCTGCTGCTAGGTAACTTGTATGGAATGTGTTAATAATAAATAAATGGAAAAATAGCAGCACATGTATCTAATATAAAACTAAAGTGCTAAAAAATTAATGTAAATGTGTAAATCAATCAATCAATAAATAGTTCAATTAAAATTATAAATAAAACTAAAGATAAAAAGTGAAAAAAAATAGCAAAAAGTCCACCATAAATAATGTTAAAAGTCCATAGTCCCCTTCTCACACCAACAATAAGTTTTCAAACACCACGTGACCAGATAGGTCACCCCCTATTCACTGCCACTCACCAAATAATATGGCTTATCTGTACTGATAAGCGAATACGCTTGTGATATGCTCCTCCTTCATATCAGCTTAATCAATTCACCACATTGTATCAATGCAGCAAAAGGGATGGTTATCCAATAATACTCCGTTCATTCAATGTACACACCCACTTCCAATATTTAACAGAGGTCCACAAACATAATTAGTGTCTGAATAGAATAGAGTAGAATAGATCCCTTGCAGCCATCAACAATTGATCACCCCCCAGCAACAATATATCCCTCCAACAATAATAGACCTCTGCTAGAAACAATAGATCTGATCAGCAGCCAGCATCAGTAGACCCCTTGCTCAACAGTAGATCCCTCACACCAACAATAATTCCCCCGCAAGCCATAATTGAGCCCCCATCAGCAACCATAGACCCCCTGAAAAAACCAGATCCCCCAAGTGACAAATGGTCCCCTAGAAGCCAGCATCAATAGATACTCTAACACACCCCAGTACCCCTAGCCATTACTTACATTCAGTGATGGAGGTACCGGAACTGCGCTCCCCCACATTCCCACTGAAAAAAAGTACTGGGTTTAGATATACATTAAGTGCATGATTAATCAAAAAAAATTTTTTTTTTTACTCAGTCCTTTCCTCCATTATTGTTTGGATAGGCAGCTGATTGATTAGTTGATTTGAAAAACACACTAACCTATGTGAACTGATCACAAAAAAAAAAAAACCTTGAGGTCCAATCAAAAACTTAGATAAAGAAAACTAGGGTAAATAGCTGAAGGGTGCGTAGTTAACTTAACATAAGTTAGTATCGGAGGTGAGATCCAAGCTCCAGGTTTGTTTTCCATCTGTCCAATCTCCCGAACCTATGGCCTTTACACAGGCTCCTACAGCAGATTGCCAATATATAGGAAATTGTGGCAGCCTTATCTTTAATGCTTCACTGTTGACAGACTTCTTTATCATGGCCACTTAACACATTTTCAAGAAACGCACGTCTCCATCTCTTCCCGTCGAATTAGCACTAGCTGAGCATTTGACTCTCGATGCAGTTCTGCAATCCGCTAATGTGATATTTAATGAGGAGCCATCAGTCCGCAGAAAGGAAGTCAATATGAATCAGTGTTTACAAAGTGTGATTAACTCTGAAATATTTCATCAATGCTCAGGTCCCCGGCAGACTCTATGCTAATTACTAAAATGGGCACATGTTTTCCGGGGGGCCACTGATGGACCCTGGGAGCTGCAAACAAGGAGATGTAAGATTGCAATTATGCTCCGACTGTCTCTCTTGACAATTTATGCATTTGCTGAGCTGACCTCCCCCTTCCCAAGAGACCAATAAACAAAATGCATTTTCATTAAGATACTAATGCACTTAATCACGAGGGGGGAAGGGTTACAAAACTAAGGAGAGTTGTGTGCAAGGAAGACAAGGCCTTGCAAAATAGACTTTCTCTTCCCCTTGTAAATGAGCTGTGCATTACTCACCCCCCCTCCCCCATTCTCAACCAACAAGATGTCCATGTTTTAATAAATCACCATTGCGGCTTTATTAACCTTTTAACTTGCAACTTTTAACCATTAAGTTGGCTGTGGAAAAGGACATAAGCAAGGAGTATGCAGACATAGAGAGGATGCTGTTTTGTTGCAAGACGTCTGGACCAACAGCTTGACCTACGCCCTAGCAAGCTTCCTCCATGTATTATCCAAAGAGGACACCAGCTGTCTTGCACAGGCTTCAGAGAATAGACAATGACTTTCAAAGAGAGAAGAAAGAACAAAAGTGTCTTTTTCACCACTGCATGGACGTTAATACATTTAAAGGTTATTTAAACAGTCTCAAAAAAATAGAAAAATCAATACACAAGTATAACTAATCTAGGAATTGGCTTAAAATTTTGAAAATTCTAACTCACAATTGGTCATTTCACAATTTAAAGTCACTTGGCTTTAGTGTCATTATTAACGTTGACTGTAAGAATAAATGTGAGTGCTCCTTAGACCTAAATATTAAGTTCAAAATGTTGCTAATTCATTTATCATATACATATACTGTATACATAAACTAGGTAGTGTAGAGATGGGTTACCTCACATGCTTTTAGGGGTACTGACCTAGGTGCAATCCATGAAAAAAGAATTGAGAAAGGCAGGCTGTGCCCCACTAAAATGTTGACATTGATTAAAAAAAATTGTGCCCGCACTGCATGGGTTAACTGCTTGTTTGTGTCTAGGGGAGAAGAGAAAGGAGATATACTAATACCTAGTACACATAATGAGAACTTCGGACAAATGATCGTCCAGTTTTTTTTTTCCATGCTAGTCTTGTATCGAAAACGAAGAGCTTTATTCTCATAAAACAGAATACAACTCTCGCAATGATATAATGTATTGTATTGTAATGAATTCTTTAGTTTCTGAGCATGCATGGTCTTGGTCACTCTATTTTTTATGGATGAATACTGTGCTGATTAAGCGAAAATTGTTTGTTCTGTTATCTTATGAGAAAAGTTTTTGTGCTTGTTCTTTTGGATAATTTTGCATGAACATGAAGCTGTGTACTAACGATCAGATTATCGGAAATCACTTAGAAAACTGTATTTTTCATCCGATTTTCACGTATGTGTGTTCTAGGCTTTACCTAATCCTCTGATCCTCCCTGCACAAGATCAGTTCAGCACCCCTGCACTCCAGTGGTCTTGAGTTGTGGACTGTTCCTGATGTCATCAAGCCCAGAGCAGGCTCCATAGACCAGGAATAGTCCACTGCTGGACTGTAGGGGAGCACTGTTTTTTGGTGGAAGAAAGGATCAGGTGAATATAAGCTTTCTCCTCACCCCTAGACAACAAAATGTAAAGTTAACCTGTGTAGTGTAGGCAAAGCCCGACTGCATGGAATTTTATTTTTTTGAGTTGGGCTTTAGACTACATTGTAAAATTCCTCTTGCTGTAAGTCCCGTTGAGTGCACCTACTGCCTGCTATTTATTCTTCATTTATATAAACCATATGTAAAAAGTTATTGGTATTGTAACATCTACAGCGCTCTCATTATTGCAATGTTCTTATGGTCATTGTTCTGCGGTCCCATCCAAGCCCATAAGTATTTAGAGAGTTGCCTCATTCTCAATATTTTCCACACAAGGATCCAGCACTCCAACACTTCTCTATCTAAATGATACAATATAGAGATTGCCATTTCTGAACACCTTCTGAAGATGCTGGATGCCTGGCTCCATAGCTTCAGTTCTGTCCAAGCCACTGACCTGGATGTACATGTAGATTAATAAAGTCACCATAAAATCAGAACTGTCACATTCTTATCCCAGGTCAGAGGCTGAGAAACTACTGAAACCATTGGTTCAATCTGTACAGTAGGAGAGGTCGGCAATGACAGCATCCATACTTCTTCTGTACAAGTTTCCCTCAAGTTATTATAAAAATCTTTATTTGATACAGTTCCTGTTAATATTGCCTTGCTTATGAGATTTTTTTGTTTTATTAACCAACTTAAGTTTTTGTGCTGTATTCTCCAATGTTGTATGGCGTGCAAAGTCTGACTTGCTCTGAATTTTCTCTACAAACTAGGAAACATAGAATACAGCTGCCCGGCCACTAACGAATGTGAAATCACAAAGCGCAGACGCAAGTCGTGCCAAGCTTGCCGCTTCATGAAGTGTTTAAAAGTCGGGATGCTGAAAGAAGGTATGATCCTATATATACTAAAGTTCCTCAGAATAGAATGTAGAGTCTTTTCAATAACGGGACTTTTTTTATTATTCTGCATTATAATATTGTGCTAAAGTTTAATAGACAGTTAACAAAGTTATCAGTAACAGAAAGGAAAGTGTTAAAGCTGGCTAACACTTTTCACACTGTCTGTATACAGGTGCAGAACATAGTGGGGCACCTACTTGTACTTGTTGTACTTGTTGTAGCTAGTGGGTCCTGCTGTGCACTAGCAATTCTCATTAACCCTTGCAACTCCTCTAAAGACAGCTTAAGCTATTAGCGAACACAATATCTGACTAAGCAAAGTCAGGATTTAGAAAAGATGTCTGTAGTCCTCTTTAGGGCCCATTTACATTTCTTATGTTATGCTGCACTTTAACACACCTTGCATTAAGGCAACCCATTGAAATATAAGGGTTGCCAATGCACCCTGACAGGTAGCATTTTTGTAAGGAAAGGCCAGCCATGGCAAGCCACATGGATCTCTTTGCACAGGTTTCCTTCATGTCTTAATGTGCGCTGCTTTAAGGCAGCCACTGAAGTCAATGGGATTCTAATGCACCAAAAATCGGACATGTCACAAACATTTGTTGCCACACACTATAGTGGATTGCCATGAGTTGGAACACTTTGTAACTTCTGTGTGCAGCCTTAGTGCATTTAGTGCTTTTCAAAATGAATAACACTCCAGTGTATAAATGTGTTTAACACACATGTTTCCGCAATGCATTCTTCCACAATCGGCTCTAAAATCAAAACTACAAATTTCAGCACAGATTCCAGACCAGGGCATGTAGAATACCAATTAATAAATTATAGAGGAGCCATTGGATTAACTATAAGTACCAATCAAAAGTTTGTACTAGTTCAGTTTCTGATTGGTTGATAGGTCTACATCATGCAATTTTCAACAATGAGTTCTTCCTTCCTTCCTTCCTCTTCCTTCCTTCCTTCCTTCCTTCTCCTTCCTTCTCTTCCTTCCTTCTCTTTCTTCTCTTCCTTCTTCCCTCCCTTCCTTTCCCCCTCCCTCTCTTTCTTTCTTTCTTTCTTTCTTTCTTTCTTCTTTCTTTCTTTCTTTCTTTCTTTCTTTCTTCTATCTATCTATCTATCTTCTATCTATCTATCTATCTATCTATCTATCTATCTATCTATCTATCTATCTTCTTCCAAACTGTAATAGTAAGTTACTGAATATATATATATATATATATATATATATATATATATATATATATATGGGAAATAATGAGTTTCATCAAAGGGCCCCAGTACCCAAAGTTCAATGATGGGGATACAACTGGACCACTAAGGGCTGTGTTCTTATAGAGTTATGGACACATTTTTTTTCATTTGGTCTAAAGCCAAACATAATGCCAAATAAAAACTAAATAGTAAATGTAAAAGTGCTATAGTAAAAGCAAATTATTTGATTGTTTTATTTTTTAATTCACAGATTTGCAGCTTTAACGCACGTGTACAATCTAGCTTATTAGTGTATATACGAGCAGATCGGCAAATCAATTTTTCTTTCTTTCTTTCTTTCTTTCTTTCTTTCTTTCTTTCTTTCTTTCTTTCTTTCTTTCTATCTATCTATCTATCTATCTATCTATCTATCTACAGTCATGGCCGAAATTGTTGGCACCCTTGATATTTTTCCTGAAAATCAAGTATTTCACACAAAAAAGGTATTGCATTAACACATGTTTTGCTATACACATGTTTATTCCCTTTGTATGTATTGGAACAAATATAAAACAGAGGCAGAAAAGCAAATATGACATAATGTCACACAAAACCCCAAAAATGGGCTGGACAAAAGTATTGGCAACCCTTAACTTAATATTTGGTTGCACACCCTTTGGAAAACATAACTGAAATCAGTCGCTTCCTATAACCATCAATAAGCTTCTGACACCTCTCACCACCCGAATTTTGGACCACTCTCTTTGCAAACAGCTCCAGGTCTCTCTTATTGGAAGGACACCTTTTCCCAACAGCAATTTTAAGATCTCTCCACAGGTGTTCAATGGGATTTAGATCTGGGCTCATTGCTGGCCACTTCAGAACTCTCCAGCGCTTCTTTGCCATCCATTTCTGAGTGCTTTTTGACGTATGTTTGGGGTCATTGTCCTGCTGGAAGACCCAGGATCTTGGACGCAAACCCAGCTTTCTGACACTGGGCCCTACAGTGCGACCCAAAATCCTTTGGTAATCCTCAGATTTCATGATGCCTTGCACACAGTCAAGGCACCCAGTGCCAAGGCAGCAAAACAACCCCAAAACATCATTGAACCTCCACCATATTTTACCGTAGGTACTGTGTTTTGTTCTTTGTAGGCCTCATTCCGTTTTCGGTAAACAGTAGAATGATGTGCTTTACCGAAAAGCTCTATCTTGGTCTCATCTGTCCACAAGACGTTTTTCCCAGAAGGCTTTTGGCTTACTCAAGTACATTTTGGCAAACTGTAGTCTTGCTTTTTTATGTCTCTGTGTCAGCAGTGGGGTCCTCCTGGGTCTCCTGCCATAGCGTTTCATTTCATTTAAATGTCGACGGATAGTTCGCGCTGACACTGATGCTCCCTGAGCCTGCAGGACAGCTTGAATGTCTTTGGAACATGTTTGGGGCTGCTTATCCACCATCCGGACTATTCTGCGTTGCAATCTTTCATCAATTTTCCTCATCCGTCCACGACCAGGGAGATTAGCTACAGTGCCATGGGTTGCAAACTTCTTGATAATGTTGCGCACTGTGGACAAAGGCAAATCTAGTTCTCTGGAGATGGACTTGTAACCTTGAGATTGTTGATATTTTGCCACAATTTTGGTTCTCAGGTCCTCAGACAGTTCTCGTCTCCTCTTTCTGTTGTCCATGCTTAGTGTGGCACAGACAGACACACAATGCAAAGGTTAAGTGAACGTCTCTCCTTTTTATCTGCTTTCAGGTGTGATTTCTATATTGCCCACACCTGTTACTTGCCCCAGGTGAGTTTACAGGAGCATCACATGCTTGTAACATTCTTATTTATCCGCAGTTGTGAAAGGGTGCCAATACTTTTGTCCAGCCCATTTTTGGAGGTTTGTGTGACATTATGTCGAATTTGCTTTCTTTCCTCCCTTTTTTTGTTTTGTCCCAATACACACAAAGGGAATAAACATGTGTATAGCAAAACATGTGTTAATGCAATACGTTTCGTGAGAAATACATGATTTCCTGGAGAAATATCAAGGGTGCCAACAATTTCGGCCATGACTGTATCTATCTATCTATCTCCTTCCAAACTGTAATAGTAAGTTACTGAATGCAGTTGTTACGAGTAACGTTTTCTCATGGATTGACTTATTAAGTATGAATTTTAATTTATTATTAAGACACGTTATGTAGTTTAAAAAAGGTCAGGCATGCTTTCATTTTTTAACACATGAATATGACAAATTAAGAGCAAAAAAAAAAAAGTCCACGATTAATTTCCTCCTAGAATGAGCGCTCTGGTTTTATGGCTTTTTTCACTGGGCTGGATGAGAATCTGTTTATTTGATTGGCTTGTATTAAACAGGTTTCTCCCAGTTTTATGGCTGTCACACAGACGCAGTCGGAACAGCTGCTTTTTAATTGGAGCTAAGTCGCTGCTGAGAGACTAGGGATGGTCAGGGAAATCCAATAGTGTCAGACACAGACAATGGCAGAGTATGGGAGCAAGACTGACAGAGACAGATTGTGGACGGAGCACTGACACACACAGGATTATTGGTAGTAAAGAGGGATAAGAAAGAATGCCGGGATATTGAAAGATGTCTATAAGATGGGATGAGTTTGGGATCCGAAAAACTGCAGGCAGAATGCCACAGGAAGAACATTTGACACTGAAACTGGAGGAAGTGCTGTTCTTTCTGATTGACACACGGGGGGGTTGATTTATTAAAAGGCAAACATGCATTCACTTTGGGGAAGTTGCACTTTGCAAAGGAATTTGCCCCAGAGCTTAGTAAATACGGTAGTTTCACTTTGCAAAGAATATCCAATCTCGTGCAAAGAAAATAAATGAAAGTATATATAGATGATGGAGGCTAGCTAAACGTCACCCCATTCACTAAGTTCTGGAGCACATTCCGTTGCAAAGTACAACATCTGCCTATTTGCCTTTCGTAAATCAACCCTATGCTGTCACATTTGAGCTCTTGTAGAGCCACTAGTTCTAGCATACCCTGGTAGCCTCAGTATTTTCAACATTTAGGAACATTTTAAAAAAAGGTAACTGTGCTCTGTGTTCATGTTTCTAAATTGATATAGCAACACATAGGGGTCACCTATTTCATACAGCACCCCAGGAACCCCAAACCTGGGGCGTTCCATTATGTCTGTTTCAAGTCACACCTGCACTCGTAAGCTTATGCTTGTTACTGAATTAAAGTAGAACTAAATGCAAAACTTTATTTTTGCTTTTTGATAGAGTAAGGGAGGGTTATAACCCCTGTTGGTTTTTTTTCCCTCTGTGACCCATTGGGGAGATTTGTTTTCACTTCCTGTCCCATAGCCACAACAGGAAGTGAGAGGGAATCCCTTGCTGTCATCATAACTGGTGTCCCCATTGGAAGATTCCCCATCTGTTACTGATCTGGTGACAACCTTTTCACTTTCACTTTTGGTGATAATGGCAAACAGGACAAATAGAGAAGGTGAATCTCCCTAACAAAGGCAAGAACAGCAATAAAACCTTGACAGGTATTCTAATTCTTCTCCACTCTACCCAAAACTAAAAACAAATTTTTCCTTTAGTTATGCTTTAAAGAAACTCTCATGATAATACAAGAACAAAAAAAAGGAACTGCACCAGACTTTACATGACTGTGTCTTCTCTGAGCTGGCAACTCAGTCCAGGAAGTAGATGGTGACCCTTAATGATGCCTGAACAAAGATTGTGTTGTCCTTTTGGAGAGAAAAGTTAATGAAGGCATTATTGGGGGCGGGGGGTCACTT